TAAACACCACGCGAACATCAGATGGAAGTCAGTGATGGTACAGCATGGGAAAGTTTGGCTAATTTGCAGAACTAATTAATATTTGTCTATATCCAATTCTCTATCAGTCTTTCTTTCATTCCTTCTTTCTTTATCTTTCTCCCTCCCCTCCCCCCCTCTCTCCTCTATCTTTCTCCCTCTTCCCCTCCCCCCTCTCGATTCTTTCTATCCCCTTTTCTCTCTCAATCCCTCTCTCTTTTCACTCTGTTTCTATTTTGACAATTTGCAGTAAGTCCTTAAGAGAGAGAAACAAAATGAAAAAGAAACAAGCAAACAAATAGAGAGTCTAATACATGCGAGCTTGCAGCAATGAAAATTAGCAAAAATGTTAAGCGCGCGTGTGTACGTATGTACGTGCTTGCATGTGTGTGCGTGTTAAGAATCTGTGAGTGAGCCAAATATATTTCTTCGTTTAGAGTGTAGAATGGACTAAATACAAGTGAAATTGCGTTTAGTATTTTATTTAGCGTAAATTTAATGTTTTAATTGCCCTTTGAAGCAAATCGTGTTGCGTATCAAGGTGACATTTCCTGATATTCAAATGACTCGGAAACTGATGGTCAGAAATAGGTCTATGTATGGATTCTTCATCTTATTACTACTGCTACCCTTTAGTTTCGATGCTGTTACGATCTACGCAATTATAATTGTTAGTGTAACTACCTGAAGTATTCACCTTTTTCAGCTTATTGAAATTCAACCTACTCATATGTATGGCTTGTACTATTATTATTTTTAGATTATATGAGCTGGAATGTGATTTTTTTTTCTTTCTTTTTTCACATGTGATCAAAACGATGATGTTACTAACCGTCATTCCTTTTTTGGCAATGCGTTGTAGTACACACGCACCGTATAGCTAATGAATGAATACGTCATGTGAATGGGGTGTTATGTATTTCCAGTTACCATTTGTTGTTCATTGAGGGCTCGACTTGCTTCGGATCTGCCGTTCGAACTCTTGAAAATAAGTTTTGTCAGGTTGAAAGCCATATAAATTTTGTTTATTTGCATGTGCTTATAAGCGGGGGAAATGTTATGTAAATGTATTACCAATTTCGTAATTACGCATTCCTTTGGTAACGATGAATGGATGGTGACTGAGAAAAGTTTGAATGAGGTTGAAGTTCATGTGTTGGTGTGGATGACCTAAGGTTTTCTCGGACCAATATCCCGAATTTGCGATTATTTCAGTGTTTACTTACATTAAACTTTCGTCTGTACCGCACGCTTGGAAATATATCGATGCTTACGGTATAGATAAAAATTTAGATTTACAATAAGAAAGTATGAACCGTATTCATTGTGACATGTGGAAAAGGTATGCATGAGAACGAATATTTTCACAATACAAGAGATAGATTTAACCGGTTTTAAATATATCTTCGTCAGAAATGCATGGCGAAGATACATCTTATGTATTATGAAGACATTCATTCTCATTCATACTTTTTAAATAAAATAAATAAACGCGTCTTGGGCCAGTTGGTCAGAGAACGCCTTCGGATGCACAAGACTTCGTATTCCCTTCCTTTCTTATGGTATTATTAACATAGACCAGAGATGCTTAAAAAAACACTGACATTCCTGCCTTAGCTTAGAATGACAAAAAAAATCCTCTTTTTTCCCTTTTTGGGGGGTGGTTTATATATTTTATTATTTTTTTTATATAATTATTATTATAATTTTTTTTCTTTATATCAGCAGCTGCGATATTGCCAAAGAATGTGTCTGTATGGAAGGTGATTGTCCCCTCCCTTTTGTATTTTATTTCAAATGATTAAAATATCTTACGACCTTTCCGATTGATGTATATATCGATTCTAAAATTGATACTGATAAGAAAATAGTTACGTTCTTGCCTTGAGGACATAATCCATGACATTGTCCTTAATCTTCCCCATTATATTGTATTATACATTATATATATTGACACCGTGTATTTCTCTTTTTTTCTCAGTGTTTGAAAATAATAATTTCAGTATTAATGTAACCAGGAAAGAAAATAAAAACGACCCTTTGCACTAGTATGTAAGATTTTGCTTCTTATGTTGTCTTTCATATTAGTTAATGATAAGTTCAGTAAGTAATAAACTATCTGTGATAATGGCGTGTTTCTTTTCCCATTACTAAAGCATCGGCAGATATCTGTTATGGGCTTTGATTTACCTGTGTTCAGAAATAATAGATGTAGAATAGGGAAAGAAAGATGGGGAGTGAAAAAAAAACACGCACGCACACGCACACATACTCACACCCACACACGCGCGCGCGTGTGTGTAAATGTAAAATGATAGATATGAAAATTGCAAGGCAGGACAAGGGAATTAGCACGAACTAAATGACCAACTCAGTCGTGCTGAATATTTGAAATCTTGATTTTTATTCTACTCAGATGCAGTTTATAGCTTGTAACTAAAGCTTTCTTTACGAGTCCTCTGAAGTTAAGTGCACAATTAAGTAACTGGATGAAAAGGACTCGCAAATATCGCAAAGACAATTTTTCGCATTTGCACCTCGTTTTAAATCTGATTTGCTGTAATTTGCTTTTGTAGAAATATAAAGCTCATTGCCATAATATGTCAATCTTACGGACAACTTTAGTAGGAAGTAAAATACACAATCTATTAAGAAAATAAATTACGTAAGAATTTGAACGGTTTCATAAAAGAATAAACACCGTAATGGAATATCAGGCACTGGCTGTTAAAAAGTGTATATACAAGTATATGCCATATATTGAAGCTGTAGGGAGCAAACGTAAGTAGAAAAAAGCAAACATGTAAGTATAATGGAAAATCGTGCACAAGGGAGTATTAGAGAAGAATTATAAAAAAAGATTTATCGAATTAAAATTTTCTTTAACACAACGTATATGATCTGTTTGAAAAAATAGTCGTTGTTATATTGCAAAGATTAATTCAGTCAAACTTATGGACTAATTTTTAAGGGTAATGCGTCAATTTATTTTAGGTTACTTTAGGCTAGGATGATAATAATAATTTTAATAAAGAATTAGGGTTTGTTATGACAGATTCTTGTAACATCAGTCAAATTGTGCCCTGTCTGTTTATTGTGCTTCTAAACTACCCTCTCTGTGCAAGGAATGGCTAGGGTTACCATCCACTGACGGTGAGCGGGAATCGAACGCTGGTCAGCAAGATTACAAGACAAGAACACTACCACGGCACCGACTTTGCCAAATTATAAGGGAAGGTATGACAAACACAGCCCTTGGTTAAGCATTATGTTGGATAAAGAAAAGTAAAGTTATTAAGGTAAAACGAGTAAAGTAAGGCAAAAAAAAAAGGTAAAGTAAATTATTAGGTAAAGTAAAGTAAGGTAAAATAGGAAAAATAAAAGATATATGGTAAAAAGGTAAATTAAGTGATTGACTTGCCAAAATAAAGTCAAGAAAGTAAAGTAGAAAACATTTAAAAATAAAATAAAAGGAAAAGGCCTTCGGTATATTCGTGTGTTTTCTTGTTCTTCCCTTCGCTGTTCCTTTTGCAGTTTGTTCGACACTCACACACACACACACACACACACACACACACACACACACACACACACACACACACACATACGTATGCATTTCCTTTATCTTCACGTTGCAAGGGCCTTTCCACCCTGTTGGATTTCGACAAGAGAAGTTCTCTCCCTCTTATCTCGGTTATGAATTCCTGTACTGTGCCTACAGGAGGAATACGGATAAGGGTCCTTATTCCTATGAATTAAACTTATTTTAATGTCATTAATATTCTCATTAAGGATAAACGAGACATATTCCTTGGCGTCGAAAAGGATCACCCTGTATCTCACCTTTTCCATGGATCGAAAATGACGTTACGTTGCAAAATTGCAGGTCCGTATGATTTTTTTTTATAAGATGTGGCGAAAGTGTTGGCTGAAGTCATGAATATATGCATATATTTTCTCTCTTCGCTTGAGGGTTAAAAGCGGACACAATTATGCTTTTTGTGAGGAGTGGCGTACATGTATAATATACATTTTATTTATTTATTTGTTTGTTATTTTTATCATTATTATTACCATTATCGTCATCATTATTATTATTGCTATTATTATCTTCATCATCATTATTATTATTACCATTATTATTACTATTATCATTATCATTATTTATTATATAATGTCTTTGCTACACAATCTGGTGTTCGCATCTATAGCTGCAGTCCTGTGTAAGCTTACGGTAGATTTTGAAGTTTATGACTTTGTCACTGTGCTTTTTACACGATAGTGGCATCTTAATCTAGGCTTTCCTTTATGGCGCTCTTTACCTCTGCGACATCGTGCTCATATCAACGCAGTCACCCAGATACACTGTAAGTAAGTGCATTAAATATCTTCTCTGTTCGATCCATTCAACTTGTACAATAATTCTAAAGTGCACAGCAACTCGCGTATATTGTGCATCTGAAGAATTTTCATACGTCTTCGGTCACTGAATTACTCTTTTGAAGTCTGAATGCATTAGTTGAAGCAACTCTATTAAAACGATGCGCCAGGAACGCCTCCACGTGCAGTGTTTGGCGTTCTTAGTTCATCTCCAAGATTTTAGATTTAAATGTTGATAGGCGGTAAAGCTAGGGCGCCAATTTAATACATGACTTACTATATATGAACTGATTTTGAAGCATAATTCATACATACTAAGTACATTTTTGTGTAGTTTATAAAAAAAAAGAAAAATAGAACATTGTGTTTGAATACTATCAATAATGTCCCTTTTGTCAGTGTGGATAGTATTGGCACATTCCTAAGGGTGGGTCTCAAAGAGTACATTTTGCATTCTTAAGTGGGTTAATGCATGAAATGGACACTTAAGAAAGGCTTGTGGGTGACAGAGAAAAATATCAAATGGCCTGTTGACAAATAACTAGTTCCCTATGATAAGACAAAAACAATCGGATCTGTGCAATGTTATATTGTTAATGACAACTCTCCATAACTTTAACTTCACTTGCAGTTGAGAACGAAACAATAGACGGAAATTGAAGATGGCGTCGATGCAGGTAAGACTTCGTGTCATGCAATCCGTCCTTTTTAGAATACACTTGAAATATTTGATATGTACATGTGTATATATACATACATACATACATATATATATATATATATATATATATATATATATATATATATATATATATATGCATTTATATACATAAATATGTATATGTATGTATATATATATATATATATATATATATATATATATATATATATATATATATATCTAATTCCCACCCCATTATCAATGAACTAGATTTTTTTTCATAACTGCTCATCTTAACCATCTTATAAGGTCTTGACACCGTTTCGCCTAGAACCAATCTTTATTTTCTAGTTGGTTAAAATCCCAGTCCAGGAACCCTTTACAGAATATTACATACGAGTTTGACCATTGGCAGATGTGTGGAGCAACCGTTACCAAGAGAACAGCAAACATCATTACTGCTGTTGGATCGCTGGGAGCTTTAGTTGGTACCTCACTAATAGTTACTGCTAGTTTTGTAGGCTGCCAATACCATATATACAGCGACGGCTACTTCAACTACTACGACACTGACTGCACTATTATTGGGATTTTAATGATCACAGGATTCGTTCTTCTGTGCGCTGCAGGTATCGTCATCAATACGTTGTTGCGCAGTTTCGTGTTACGCTGAGAGTATTTTCGTCTTCATTCGTTTTCTTTTTAATCATTGTATTTGTCTAGTTTTTTTTTTCATTATTATCCTCTGATTATTCTCAATGTGATTACTAATATCTCTTTAAGCTTTCCAGTTCTTGCTTTGTTGTATGTGCTACAGGTATGAATTGTAATGTCTATCAAAAGTTATCAGGGAATAATAAAATTAAAGTATTTTCAAAATTTAAATTGATCATCAGTATATCGATGTACATTGATAATGATGTCACTATTCAAGATGACATCTTTTATGTCATTATTATCATAATTATAATTTTCATTAAGGACATGTTCTCGATAATGTGAATGATCATACATAAAGGCCTTTATTCCGGCGGCAAACACTTCAGAAAATCCAGGAAAATCAATAACTTTTGTAAATATATCGAAACGCTGTTGAACCAAATGGTCGTAAGAAATTCCTGGTTTAGAATTTTGAGATTAAGTGTTGTTTCGATTTGTCCATATGGGCTAAACATGTAACTTTCTCTAAAATCAACATTACCAGCCTTGCATCCTGTTGGAAACAACGGAATACTTTTGTGCGTTACAAAGACTACCCAAGGTCTTTATCAGTACTTATAATACTTATATCGACCTTGAGCGCGCCACTTCTCGCAACTGCAGAATAAAATACAAGTATCCTTCTTCAGCTCGTTACGTTGAAACCATGCGCTTCGTAGCGCCACTAAATGCCAAACGGAATGCAAGACTCGATCAAGGTCTATAAGTTATAAAAGATCTTAGCTTGCATTGCCAGTTACGAAACCGTTCCAAAATGGCTGAGCGTTCGAACAGTTTTGACAACAGAATGTTTCTAGTACTAGTTTTAAATCTCATATCACCAAGAAAATCACTTTAATCAGACTCGGAACCCAGAACAATGTCTGATAAAAAAGATCGTTCCTTATCGTCATATTGGTTTATTTACATTCACCAAGGGACGTTTTTTTGGGAATCTCTGGTAGTCCTGCTGTTCTCGAGGCTAAGCTTGCCGAAGAAAGGGCCTTTACATTATCTATAAAGTCAATGTTCTTCCTGTTTTCTCTATCGGTATTTTGTTTTGTTATTACTATAATTGCCGTTATCATTGTTTTCATTATTATCCTTAATAGTATTATCATTATTGTTATAGTAGTGATAATAATGATGGTGATGATGAATTATTGTTACCATTATCATTGATTATCATAATACTCATACTGTAATTACTTCATAGAAATCTATCTTGGTAGGTCACACAATTTCTTGAAATGATCCAAATTAAGAAAAGTCAGGGAATTTAGTAAAAATGCCTCAAAGTTAGGAAAAGCTGGGATTCTTGATAAAGATTCCTTGAAACAGGGGATACTTAAGGAATTTTGTAAAGTTACTTATCAAAGAATTCAATATGAGTGCTACAAATTATGGAAAAGTTAAAGGAACTTACAAAAATGTCTCGCAAAAAGGAAGTGCTAAGGTATTTGATAACAATTCCACAAATCAGGGATTCGTCAAAGAAATTGAATAGAAATGAATCTGTCTTTATTGATTATCCATACAATCTATGCACTGAAGTAATGTCTTTTTTCTTGTTTTTGTTTTTCTCTTTTTTTTGTGGTGTAGAAATCCCACCAAAGGCCAGGGTATGCCTGTGTGTATGACTTACCATTATTAACTCTAAACACCTGTACCTAAAATTCATAAGAAAGTAGCGCATTTTACTTGTCTAGTGTTTCTTCTGGTACACTGTGAGGGGTGGGACTTCTCCGCTAGTTTGATGCACGGAGAGTATGTTCTCCGAGTCATAACAAGTAATATTCATTGTGAAAACACGTGCGAAACTTGCATTTTGACGTGCGGAATTTATTTTTACGTGTGAAATTCATTTTGACGAGTGAAATTTGTATTTTGACGTGCGAAATTTATTTTCAGTTGTGAAATATGTATTTTGTCGCGTGAAATTTATTTTGATATGTGAAATTTGTATTTTGTCGCGTGAAATTTATTCTAACGTGTGAAATCTATTTTGACGTGTGAAATTTGTATTTTGCCGCGTGGAATTTATTTTGAGGTGTGACATTTGTATTTTGACGTGTGAAATTTGTATCTATCAACGGGAATCAGTACACCATCTTAACATGTAATGCTAAAAACCCTGTATCATTCTCATTTTTTTTATAATTTTAAATATTTTGCTGTTGGTATAACTGATAACTCTTCCCAAGGGGTGGGATTGGGGGTTGCAATCAACTAATTTGATCTGTTAATTGCTCAAAGATTATAAAGATATGTGACGAAAATCTGTAGCGTGTTTGGCCGGTTGCACGACTTGAGTGGTGAACGAAACCCAGTTACTCCCTACATATGAAATAACTAATATCTATGTTCATGTATATGTATGTGTGTGTGTGTGTGTGTGTGTGTGTGTGTGTGTGTGTGTGTGTGTGTGTGTGTGTGTGTGTGTGTGTGTGTGTGTGTGTGTGTGTCTGTGATTGCATACATATGTATGTATGTATATGTATACGAATATTTATATACATAAGTATATTATTGTTGTTAATATTATTATGGTATTTAGCAGTATCCTTCCTAATCAACCGCCGCGACTTCCCATGCGACACCTGCGTTTGCCCCTTCAAGGCGAGTCTACCTGCCTATCTACTCGAACACACACACACACACACACACACACACACACACACACACACACACACACACACACACACACACACACACACACACACACACACACACACAGACTTCGAACACAAACACGCAAACCCCTACACTTGTATAAATGGTGATTCCATATTGTGTGTTTATGTGTTTATAGATAGACAGATAGATATGTGGAGATGGATAGAAATCTACATGGGACAAAATGTATATATATTAATATTATATATAATATATATATATATATATATATATATATATATATATTTATATATATATATATATATATATATACATATATACATATATATACATATATACAGTATATATGTATATATGACCATACATATACGCACATATACTGTATATTATGTATGTATATGTTTATAATATATATATATATATATATATATATATATATATATTATATATATATATATATATATATAATATAGAGAGAGAGAGAGAGAGAGAGAGAGAGAGAGAGAGAGAGAGAGAGAGAGAGAGAGAGAGAGAGAGAGAGAGAGAGAGAGAGAGAGATATATATATATATATATATATATATATATATATATATATATATATATATATATATATATATATATATATATATATATATATATATATATATATATATATATATATATATATATCATATGTGTGTGTGCGCATATGTGTGTGTATATTATCTTGATAAACACAGTTCGTGTTACTGTTCACATCATAAATGATCAGTACTATTTTAGTAATGAATATTACTACGAACGACTTTCACCTTCCTTGCATCAAGCATCTCAATGTCGCTGCGTTAACTTTCAACTTTAAATCTTTTGCATTCTTATGTCTGCATACTACTGTCAAAACTCAGACGTCAGTAACGACAAACCTGTTCTCTTATCCGTAGTGCCTGTTGCGGTGACTGGATGTGTGATGCTTTGCAGCATGCGTAAAGCCAGATCACCGGCGCCAGTGCCCGTGACGCTGCATGCACCCGTGTATAATGTCCAGCTCCACCCACAACAGGGAGTAGGTCAGCTTCACCCACAACATGGAACAGGTCAACCTTACCAGCAGCAGGGAATAGCCCCACCATACCCACAACGGGCAGCAACTCCATCATACCCACAGCAAGAAACAGTTCCATCATACCCACGGCAAGAAGCAGTTCCATCATACCCCTAGCAGCTAAGAGGACTCCCACACGAACAAGGCCTAGAACAGCCCTACAATAAAAGGAGAACCTTTTACGATTCCTCGCGACGGGGTAACAGCTGGGATATTTATAACTGAAGCTGGCAACGGTGACAAGGAATGCATGCAGTGGTTGCAGAAATGAAACTCTGCAACTACTGCTTGATTCACCGACAAACCAAAATTGATTTTCTTTCTGGTGTTTTTTACGTTTGGTAGTTGATTGTGATTTTGAGTTACATTTTACGTTTGAAATTATAGTATTCAAACCTGTAGCGCCTGTAGCTGGTAAAGCAAGATATTTATAAACGGAATAATAATGTAGTAATACAAATGACATTGAGATGTTTCATTAAGCACTAGTTAATTTTTCATAGTATGATGTACTTTGTTTTGCTAACTAGTGGTATGTTTATAACTACATGGAGCAGCTGTTATCTTGATAGACAACAAACTAAATTGAAATCTTTGTTATTGATTTAATATCATTGGAAGCATGAAACAGAAGAAATTGATCAAAATATAGCACAATACATGGTGATTTGTTATTGTATGAATAAAGTTCCTTGACCTACTGATTTTCTCCTTTTCTTGCACTTGATAATTAATGGCTGTATACATACATACATACATACATACATACATACATACATACATACATACATACATATATATATATATATATATATATATATATATATATATATATATATATATATATATATATATGTGTGTGTGTGTGTGTGTGGTGTGTGTATTTGCGTTTGCATATATATACATATGTATGCATATATATACATATGTATGCATATATATACATATGTATGCATATACATACATACATATATGGTATATATATTTATGTACACACACACACACAAATGTGTGTACATTCAGGATATATTGTAAAAATAAATCAAGTTACTGAGTTGCGCTAAATAAGGTAAAGAAGGTAAAGTAGATATAATTAAAAATGAAATTAAAAATAAAATAAAAAGAAAAGGCCTTCGATATATTCGTGTGTTTTCTTGTTCTTCCTTTCATTGTTCCTTTTGCAATTTGTTCGACATGTATTACACACGCACACACATGCGCGCGCGCACACACACACACATACGTATGCATTTCCTTTATCTTCACGTTGCAAGGGCCTTTCCACCCTGTTGGATTTCGACAAGAGAAGTTCTCTCCCTCTTACCTCGGTTATGAATTCTTGTACTGTGCCTACAAGAGGAATACGGATAAGGTTTCTTGTTAGAATATTCCTATGAATTAAACTCATTATTTTAATGCCAATGTTCTCATTATGGATAAACGAGACATATTCCTAGGGTCACCCTGTGTCTCATCTTTTCCATGGATCGAACATGACGTTACGTTGCAAAATTACAGGTCCGTATGATCTTTTTTCTTTTATAAGATGTGGCGAAAGTGTTGGCTGAAGTCATGAATATATGCATATATTTTCTCTCTTCGCTTGGGGGTTAAAAGCGGACACAATTATGCTTTTTATGAGGAGTGGCGTACATGTATAATATACATTTTATTTATTTATTTGTTTCTTATTTTATCATTATTATTACTATTGTCATCATTATTATTATTGCTATTATTATTATCATCATCATTATTGTTATCATTACCATTATTATTATTATTATCATTCTCCTTATTTATTATACAGTGTCTTTGCTACACATCTTGGTGTTCGCGTCTATATCTTCAGTCCTGTGTAAGCTTATGGTAATTTTTGAAGTTTATGACTTTGTCACTGTGCTTTTTACACGATAGTGGCATCTTAATCTAGGCTTTCCTTTATGGTGCTCTTTACCTCTGTGTCATCATGCTCATATCAACGCAGTCACCAAGATGCACTGTCAAGTAAGTGCATTGAATATCTTCTCCGTTCGATCCATTCAACTTGTACAATAATTCTAAAGTGCGGGCACAGCAACTCGCGTATATTGTGCATCTGAAGAACTTTTCATACGGTCTTCGGTCACCTGAATTACTCTTTTGAAGTCTGAATGCATTAGTTGGAGCATCTGTATTGAAAAGATGCGCCAGGAGAGCTTCCACGTGCAGTGTTTGGCGTTCTTAGTTCATCTCCAAGATTTTAGATTTAAATGTTGATAGGCGGTAAAGCTAGGGCGCCAATTTACTAAATGACCCTATATATGATCTAATTTTGAAGCATAATTCATGTATACTAAGTACATTTTTGTGTAGTTTATAAAAAAAACAAAACAAAAAAACATTGTGTTTGTATACTATCTATGATTGTCCCTTTTGTCAGTGTGGATAGTATTGGCACATTCCTAAGGGTGGGTCTCAAAGAGTACATAATTCTTATCATTATCATTAGTATTATTTTTATCATTCTTGTTATTGCTTTTATCATCATTAGTATTATTTTTTATCATGTCACATATCTCTTGTCTTTCCGCCATTTATTTTTATTGCGAGACAGGTAGAAGAAAGGGAATAATAATGATAATAGTAATCATGATGATAATGAAAATGAGAATAATGATAACAACACTAATGATAATGATAATAATGATGATAGTAATAGCAATAATATTAATAACAACAATAATAATAATGATGATAATAGCAATAGTAATGTTGATGATAATAGTAATATCAGAATAATCAGAATAATTGGAATAATAATAAAATAATGATTAAAACAATGATAGTAATAAGAGTGATATTAATATCATCAATAATACCTATTATAATAGTAATGATGATATTGATATGATAAAAGCAATAACAACAACAATGATAAAAATAATACTAATGATGATAAAAGCAATAACAAGACCCGCCACCTGGTCCTTTGACGTCCTCTGGGGTTTGCATCCGGAGAAAAAGTGGCGTAGCCTACCAC